TCAGATTATTATTTTGTGTGTGTGTGTGACTTGGGTGAAAATTTACCCCAATGCAACAGCTCCCCTCCCACTTCCTCCCAATAGTTATCTCTTCCCTGTGTCCATCCCTCCGTGCACTCTTGCCCCCTGAACTGTCTCCTGTGCATAAAAAGCCATTCTTTCTCCCATGATTGTTGTCTCCAAGGAGTGTATCTACCTCAGGTAAATGTTCAACTCATATGCCTGTCTTTTGTTTGTCTGGAAGCCACAGACCTGAAGGGCAGCTAGGGGCCATAGTCTCAGTGGTTACACCAGGCTCCATTGGACCAGCAAACCTGGTCCTCCTGGGGTCCTTTTGCTGAGATGCAGCGGCAGTGGACTCTGTCTCGCTTAGGTTTTTGCACAACTTAAATGTTTTTGGGACACATGTATGATCCCTTAGAGGGAGAATTCTGTTCTGGTGATGTTTTGGGAAGCAGCCTCTGCAGGTCTTAGAGCATCCGTTTGGATTGTGAGTTGAGCTGGTGGGGAGGCCTGTGAGTAAACCGGGAAGCAGGGCTCGTGTTGAATGCTTTCCTCAAGCAGGTGGCTCCTTTCTACACACCCCTTTCCTGCTCCCTGTCTTCCTCGTGTCTGGTGCTCCTCAGGTGTCTACCGACATTCGAATCGTGTCATCTCCTGGCAGTCTTTACCTCCTGGCCTCGTGCTTTTCACGTCAGGAGCAGGACTTGTGGCCTGGCAGATTGGGCTAAAGCAGTGGGTGAGCTAGCCCCTGCGCCGGGGTCCCCTTTGATGCCAAGTGAGGGCTTTATTCCGATGGCAGCACCTATTCCTGTAGCTTCTCCCCAGGCAGTCATGTCCATTTAAGGAAGAGGCCTTGGCCCACTCCACATGTGGCTGACGGAGGCCTGTGAGGATCTTCCTGCTCCTCTGGCTGCGCCTGCAGGTCCTGGGGCCCAGAGGAGCAGGTGGTTGCTTGGCTGCACAGCAGCCCTGTGGGCCTCATTCTCTGTGCACGGCTGTGGGCCGCATGGTACGCATGGCAGAAAGTTCCCCTCACTGATGACAGTGACCCCTCCCCCATTGACTCAAGAATGGAGCCAGCATACACACGCGTGGGCTGAGATTTTGTAGGTCTTTACAAACGCTGTGTGATAATTGTCTCATTCCTAGACTGTGGCTACCACTTCCATTTTGGAAGGGTTTCTGTAGACTCTAGTAGAAACCCCCCAAACCAAACAACCACTGCCCTGGAGTCGATTCTGACCCACAGCGCCCCTAGAGGACAGAGTGGAACTGCACCACAGGGTCTCCAAGGTTGTCAATCTTCACAGAAGCAAAGCCCAAACCACACCCACTGCCTGGAGTCCATTCTGACCCACAGCGCCCCTAGAGGACAGAGTGGAAATGCCCCACAGGGTCTCCAAGGCTGTCAATCTTCACAGAAGCAAAGCCCAAACCACACCCACTGCCGTGGAGTCCATTCTGACCCACAGCGCCCCTAGAGGACAGAGTGGAACTGCACCACAGGGTCTCCAAGGCTGTCAATCTTCACAGAAGCAAAGCCCAAACCACACCCACTGCCTGGAGTCCATTCTGACCCACAGCGCCCCTAGAGGACAGAGTGGAACTGCCCACAGAGTTTCCAAATCTTCACGGAAGCAGACTGCATTTTTCTACCAAGGTGTGTTCAAACTGCCGACCTTTCAGTTAGCAGATAAGTGTTTAACCACTGTTCCACCAGGGCTCCTTAGTACACACACATGCACGCCTGTGCCCCATGAAGCAGTTTTGAAATAGAAATCCTATTGCAGACACTTCTGTGGCTGAATTTGAACATGTGGTATTCCTTGCTTTTGTTTAAACAGATGATGCTGGAGGGTCTTGAAATCTTTAAAACCAATAAAAGCTGCCACTTGAAATCCAGCCTCTGTAAGCACAGCCCCACATACGACTACGAGGAATGTCCGAGAACTCTGCCCAGATCGCTCATTCTGAACGCCATACACCCGAGAGCGCTGTGTGGGGGTGAGACTGGGTGAAGGAGCCCGTCTGACTGACTGCTGGGAGGGAGGTGCACACTTCAGGTAACTTTGTAAGGACGGACGGACAGACAACTACCTCAGGGAACAAAACCAGGGGACAGGGACAGAGCTGCTCGTGTCCTGGCTCCCTTCAACACACCCTTTATCAAGGTGGTTTTTCTGATAAAAGGGGGTGTGAAGAGTGTCCTGGCAACAGCAGTTGCTGAAGACAAAACAAGAAGGCAGACACTTATATTTTATCATTTTTCTGTGGAAACATCTGTTGCTGTAGAAGATATTTCAAGGTATGCTTGTTACATCATTACCTAGTGAAGAACAAGGCTAGGCCCCTGGATCAGCTAGTGAGAATGTTGGTTTTTAAAAAACAATTAGATAAATTGGGTGTCTTTGGCTTGACGTCACTTTAGTAATTTCAGTTCCAGGCACAGCAGACACAACTGTTGCTGATTCATGTGGGGTCACAGGAGACAGGGATTTTTTACAGCTCAGTCTGTGCCCTGCGAGTCCGAGCAGATACTGCCAGTGGCCAAAAGACTGAGGGTTTTACTTTCCGTTACAGTATAAATTCCCAGCTTCCCAAGTCCTTACTTACGAGTAAGGTCCAACTTTCTGTTCTCGTCTCTCCCACGGTCCACCTTGAAGGGAGTTTGCACAGAGTGAGGTTGGCAAAAGCTGTCAAGGACCTGCGCACTGAAGTCCTCAGGGGCTTCCCACTGGGCAGTGCTGCGGCCAGGGGGCTTGTGACCCCACGGTGGCCCGGAGCGAAGTGTGATGGCTGGAGTCACAGCCCTGCTTGGTTTCAGCTCAGAGGCTGTCAGCTTGGGATGTGACACTCCCCACTGACGGCTCTGATGCCCCATGGGGAGAGGGCTGGGTGCATCATGAATGAGGGCCAATGCTAGAGACCCATTTGAGACCTTTTCATTTCCTTTTTGAAGCATGGGAAGCAATTTTTATGTCACTCTGGTCATAAATAAAATGTTGACTTGGACCCTGTGTGCTCACTTCTCTCCTGGCAAGGTGGCTGGGTGTTAGCAATTTCATGGGAGCTGTAGCTTGAGCGACCACTCAGCTGAGACAAGTAAGTGGTTCCTTGAATGTGTTTCCAAAGTAGATGCTATAAACGGTCTACAGAGTGCAGTCAAGGTCGCTGTCCTCATCTGACGGGATGGCTAGCGTGCTGGCCAGGTGCAGGGCAAGCACAGCACAGGCATACAAGGCGGGAAGAGCCGGGTGTCCCCTGTAATGACTTCCACAGCCAGTCCTGCTAGAATGGTTATTTCATATGCTGTTGTTCCATTGTGAGTGATCCATCAGGGAACAGTTTGAGTGAAACTCATTCCCTTATGTTCAGTTTTGTCCCTAAGAAACAGGTCAAGGGCCACAAGGAATGGCTGTTTGTTTCTTTAAGCCAGAATGGCTTACATGTTAACAGGATTACATCCTGAAGGCTTAGCATGAGTCCCTTTATAACAGCCGCCTTGCTGCCTCACCAAACCCTAAGTAATCAGTGTGGTCCTTTGAGGTTTGCTGACCCTTCACTAAGGGGAGTGTGAACTCCCTCTCAGCCCCCACCCCCAGCCCATCAGAGGTTGGAATCTCATCGCCTTCCCCGCTGCTTCCCACTGCAGGCGGCAGCCTTAAGATGCTGAGTGCCCCAGAAACCTCATGGGCTTTTTCTAGAGAAAGTGCCAGGTTACTATAGTGTTTGTGTATATCTTCATCACTTAACATTTGTAAACTGGCTACCATTTTTATTATGCACCTGCTCTTTGTGAAGGAGCTCTAGTGGTGCAGCGGTTAAAGCATTGGGCTGCCAGCCAAAACGGTGGTGGTTTGAACCCACTGCCTGCTCCACAGCAGAAGGACGAGGTGGTCTGGTTCCATAAAGATTACAGCCTCGAAGACCCTGCGGGACAGTTCCACCCTGTCCTCCACGGTCACGGAATTGCAGTCGACTTAAAGCAGTGGTTTTTAGGGAACAATAACACTTGCTGTTGGAAAGCAATCCATTACTCCAGGAGGCTGCCCTTGGTTAGCTCAGGGCCCATCACGGTGACACACACAACCACCAGCGTGTGAATAGTTTGGTTCTGTTCGGAGATGGAAGTGAAGCGCTATTTGAAAAGTGCATTTTTTCTCCTACCTTTAGCAATGTACTTAAGTGGAGAAGTTGGTTATCTGAGAAAGCCTGTGCTTTCCACCATTTCCCTCTCAATAGAAATTTAGAAACACGGAGCTTGCGCCGAAGCAGCCCTGTTTCAGTTTCACCACTGAAAGTGTTTCTAGTCTCTGAACTATAGACAGGAGATGTTCGAAATTATTTTTTAATTGATATCTGCAACAGTGACATACAGTTCCTCTGGAGTAATTTCCCATGAAACAACTTACTGATCACCTAGCATACTGAACCTAAGAGATTCCTTGAAAGATTTACTGAAAGATGCCACAGTTGGCAAGACCTGAGTGAAGATGGTCAGAAACTGACATTCTCCTTACCAGGCTCTTGAAGATGGAAGTTAACTTTTTCCTTAAACTCGTTCACTGGACACTCCCTACCACGGGGGATCTGGAGCCCGCCCTCCCTGCAGCTGCAGTTGCTGGGGGCTTAACTAAGGCTTTTCTGAAATACTGCTTGAGGCTGCTTCTGCCTACTCTGGTTCATTCTCAGAGAACATGAGGACGGTGCGTGGGGGCTCGGCTGCCGTTCACCTGGCCACAAGCTGACCGCCCTGTGGCCGGAGTCTGCGGTGGCTCAGGAGGGCACCCAGCCCCTCGTGGGACTCTCGCCGTCTGCTGCTGCGTTCTCGGCCTTGTCTGGGTACTGAGAGAGATCGAGGGTCAGAACCCGGCTGAACATGAAGCCCTCGTGCTGGAATGAAGAGAAGACAGCGTCACTTCCCATATTTAAGGGAGGAGTGTCAGTAAATAGAAGGGCGTCGACTGATACTTATTTACAAAGGAATGTGCCTGCGCAGGAGCTGCCTGTGGGGGTCATTCAGTAACCTGCACTTCATCAGCTGTTCGTTGTCTCATGTCTGGCATGAGCCTCTCCGTTCTCTCAGGAGGCGGCGTGTGCGTGTTTGCGTGTGTGTGTGTGTCTGTCTCCCCACCGTTCTGTAGGCACCGCAGCTTAAAGGCATAGGAAGGCCAGCCAGCCCTCACCTGAGCTGAGAGGAAATTCAAGAAGTGAACACCTCACCCTTCAGCCCCCCGGCCCCCTGCTGGGATTAGCTGCTGTACTCCATCAGCTCCCAGAATATTCCAAACTGAAGAAAGGCGGGTTGAAATCCTGAGAACTACCTGCAGCTTCTAACAATACCCTGGTGGTTTTCTGATACCTCTGGAAAATGAGTGGCCTCTTGTTAGTTTTACCAGTGCCTCTGGTTTTGCTTAAAACATCCAGATGCCATAGAGGTGAGATACATGCCCGGTTTAGTCTGTGTGCGAGTTAATGTGTATGTTTTACGAACAACAGTCACTACTCCTCTCAGTGTTCAGCTGGCTTGTTTCATTTAAAATACACTTAACGTCTCTGCACTGTCACACGAGAACATGTGGGCAGGGCCTTGAAACCCTGGTGAAAATCTTTTCGGTGCCAAGGGCAGAAATCAGACAGCATCTGTGGACTCCATATGGAATTTTTTTTTCCTATTACAATTTTGGGTTATTTAAAAAATTTCAGTAAAATACACACAATAGGCACCTTTGCCACTTCATCAATCACACGTACAATTCCGTGACCTCATTCCGTTCACCGTGTTGTGCAGCCATCACCACGATCCATCCGTTTCAATCCGTAGGGACGTTTCCCTTAGGAGGGACAGCTCTGCCCGCCAGGCCTGCCTTCCGGGAGTGGCAGTGGTGCCAGCGGCCCTCCCGCCCTCCTCCCCACGCTCACCTCGGGATAGATGCCGATGAGCGCGTCGGCTCTGGAATAGAACTCCTCTTTCAGGGAAATGATGATCATCTGAAACTGCTCCTGCGTCTGCTGGCGGATGTAACTTGACACCTGGGAAGAGAGAGGATGCACCCTTACCAGCCGCAGAGGCGGCCTCTGGCCCTGCCATGATTGCCAAAATGAAAACGTCCTAAAACGAGAGGTAAGTAAATCAGATACAAACCTCAACGAACCCACGATCTAAAATGAAGATACTTTTACAAAATAAAGCTGTAACTTAGGATACTGTTGTGTTACTATGCAGTCCTCCTTTGTAACAAGATAAACTACCATTGGGATATTTCATGAGGGTAATGAAGGGCTGGTATTTAAACTTCCAACTTCCTGTTCTGCCAACTTAGTCTGAAGACGGGAAATATATGGCAGCCGTGTGTGTATTTGTAATCCTTGCTCAGGTCACTGTTAGAGGTGAACTTGGAGGCTCAACTCCCAGGAAATGGGAACAAGAACAGAACATACTTGGTAGAAATGAGTCTTGGTGAACAAAGCAGCCAGAACCAGGAGAATGACAATGAAGTTGTTAGACTGCCAGCAGTCTAACAACATAACCTGTCGAGCCAGAGTCCAGCATTAGAAGCAGGAATGGCGGCTTCACTTGGGGAGAGTCTAGCTGACGGGTACGATACGACAGAAAGAAAACCACTCTTGGTCAAGAGGTTGAATTCACAGAGGTGGACTCCAGCGGGAGAGGCGGTCATAGCCACTGGGATGCATGAGTGAGAGTCTTGGGAGACTGAAAGCAGTGGGTGGGATGGGGTGCGAAGACGTGGGGGACGTGTGTGGCTCAGAGGTTACCTGTTAACAATGAACCTGTGAGAGTTGAACCTTGACGGCCTGCCTCATTCTTCCAGGTCATGCATGTTTTCCACCTTTGACAGACTGGTCTGACTTTTTCTATTGCTCATTTAGTGGAGAATGTTTGAGTTTTCCTTTGCAGCCAGGTTTCTGCCTTAAGTAGGTTCTGGCTTTCACAGGTTTTGCTGTACAGCTGTCAGGCTCCCTGATCACGGAGGAGGTGGAGACTCCTTTACAACTGCTCAGACTTCATGCTACACGATGGCTCGTCCTCAGGCCAACACTGAGGGAACAGGCATCAGGAGCCCCAAGGAAGACCTAGTGCCTGGAGCTGCCACCAACACAGACTTCTAGACTTTGCTAGAAAACATGAAGACTTTAAATGCCAGTGAGAGGAGAGGCCCAAGGTGGAGAGGTTTCAGCAGAGCTTCTGGGCTAAGACAGACTCAGAAGAAGGAAGAGGCCATCCACTTCTCAAACAACTGGCCAGTGAAAACCTTATGAATAGCAGTGACAACTGGTCCAATAAACAGCTTCACGATAAATGGAGAAAAGACTGAAGTTGTCAGGGACTTCATATTATTTGGTTCTATAATCAGCACCAATTGAAGCAGTAGTCAGGACATCAAACGACATACTGC